TTTTGGGACGAACTTCAAACGCGTGCTATTTTCACATCCGATGTCCAATTGGAGTAATTTAAATACCCACATGAAGCTTATTTAATAAGCTAACTAATGGTATAAGCTTTATTATGATCTGACATCGTATGAAAATTTTAGACACTCGAATTAAAAATTAATTTTTAAAGCGATTTTCAAACATCTAAGTACCCAAAACTCAAAAACTTATACCATTAACCCATTTTGAGGCTTGAACCAAGACCAATGGACCAAAATACACTTGATTGAGCATTCAAATACAAAAAACATATCAAACACAAAATTTGGTCACTTAATGCCTATTTCACTCAAATAGCCAAAATACAAAATCAATACCACATATACTATTTGGCCTTTATTGCCACATAATACACCACATATATATTGTCACTACATGTATAAAACATTCCTTGTACTTGTATTAGTATTTCAGTCCATTACCAAAAAAATTGCCACATTCACATCATATACAATATTGGGCTAAAATACAAAAAACATAGTATGAAACAAGTACAACCAATCAAAATGATATGCATTTTTAGTTGACAATATATAATATTATATCACAAGTTTATGTACACCACTTAAACCAAAATTGAGCATTACTATTCATAATGCAGCAAATCTGCTAGTCCTTGCCCGATTCCTTCCCCTACTCAAACTCAACGGTAAAACCTATAAAATGATAATTACGGGGTGAGATAAAAATCTCAATAACTAAGATAATATACATTATTGATTAACATGTCAAGTTATAAACAAACCTTAAAATAAGCATAATAAATACACCATATAAAATCACCACAAGTTATATTCATGATCATTAACCATCCGGTTCTTCAATACTCCTGGCTAAACTGGTAGGCTATTTCATGAAACCAAACCACATGTATGGTTCCCAAGCTCACCATCCATGGTAGGACTATCCAGCCAAGGTGTCCTAAACTACTTCTGAACTACTAGTTCCCCCTATTACAAGTAATTAGGGTGTCGTTACTCCAACACGGCATCCTATGAATGCTAAGGAGTATGGTCTCTAATTCCGCACCCTTTTAAGTGCTAAGAAAAGTAAGCCTCCAACACCGCACCCTTTTTCGAGCACTAAAAAGAAATATGAGCTGCACCTGGCGTCCCGAGATGCCAGCAGTGCCATATAGACTTAATTTTTACTAACTCCACTAGGGTAACCTTCCACCCTTTAATATGCCACGTTTCACTACATATCTCCACTTGATCATATATAAACCATTTTCTAAACCAATATAATGAATATTACCACTTACTTCAAAAACATGATATTTTACAAATCAATACTCCACTCATTTTTTAAAATAGTTAACTTTTACAAAATTCATACATATATACATAACAAATCATGCAAGAACAACTTCAGAATAACTTATACAAGGTAATAAATAATACAAATTATCTAGTTACCTTAACCATTTTGTTACTAAAAAAGATTACTCGTGGTACTAAATCTCTTCTTGTGTCAAGGCAAGTTTTTTCACACAATAATCTACATCAATAAGTACTATATGTTAATTTTCAATTAATACAAGCACTATTAGCTATCCAGAACATCCCAATTCTCTCACTTCTCACTCATATCAAGATTACAAGTTTCTCACACAATCCCTTTAAGCCTCCCTCTAATCTTATCACGATATAACACTTGACATCTCAATTTGTCACACCTTAAAAGCCTACAATCAAGTTAGGCTTGATCCAATTTTTACCAAACAATAATTTAACTTCATATTACCACTTATCTAAGGTTAAGAAACTCAAATTAATCATTTAGAGTCAATAAAAACCTTTAAAATATAGACTCATAGCTTGATTCATTTAGAGTAAATTTTCTCACTTCTAAATCACATGGAAAATGAGATGAAAATATAGAGAAGAAGGGTAGAAAACTTACTCAAGAGTTTAAAGGCTTAATTTATCTTTAAAATCATCCCAAAGTTATGCCCTAACAGTGCCCAAAGCTTTTCCCTTCATGTTCTAGGTCTCCTTACATAAAAACTATCTTTTTCTGATAATTTTCAAAATTTTAACTTGTCTGTTATGCTGTGCACCAAACGCACGCCACACAAGTTGTGGCTCACGATGCAGCAAGCAAAATGTCAATTTTGCTCCTCTGATGCCACCCGACTTGATCCAACTTCTATCCTAACTCAATTTAGAGCCAAATATAACTCAAAAAGTCAATTAGCAACCCAAAAATATAATTAAATTAATTAATTATCTTTTTAACTAATTTAGCCCTTAATTAGTCAATTTTCCCAGATTTAAAGTTTTTGAATGTTACAAAACTCATCATTTTCAATCAAACTCTAACCTCTACCATCAAGAAAATGGAAGAAGAGAGGAAAATCTAAGTAAGCTTACTTTTGGTGTTTAGAAGCTTCAAAATACTCTCAATAATAAGTTCTCCCAAGCCCTAACACTATTTCTTCATTTTCTTCATTTTCTCTTCCTGTTTTCTATTTCTCTCACGCGCATACGAAGCTGATATAAAAAAATTTTGGCCGTGCGCCATGGCGCATGTTGCCCCCCACCGCGATGCATGGCATAAAAGAGCCCGTGGATTCAAATCTGCCTCTATGCGTCACGGTGGACTTACCACGCACCGCGACATGTGGTACAAAGAGCAATGCTTCGCTTTTTCTTCCTCTTTCCTTGCCCAGGTGGCTCATCATTGATCCAAACCTACTTCTAAGACTGAATTTACAATAATTACACCAAGTTAAGCCCCTCTAGCCACACACCTCACTAATACACTTATTTGGTCTATTTGGACTTAATTAATCTTGATTTAAAATTGAGGATGTTACAATTTTCATTAGCTCTGTATATCATCTCTCATCATTCATATTATAAGTTTCTGTGGTCAAAAGCTTTAGGAAAAAAAATAAAAAATAAAAGACATCAAATTCACCCCCTTCTTGAGTGACCAACATATCTTACATGCTGAAAGACAATAACAATATTTGGAAGAATCAACCAAAAAGATGTAGAATATAAAGTAACCTTTTATTTAAAAGATGTAGAATAATTCTAAATTTATAAGTTTAAATCCCACTATTTATGAAGATTTTGTTAGTGAGCGACATTTAGATACCTTTATAAGTATTTTTTTTAAGTTTAAAAGCATACCCTTATTGGATAAAAACATAGAGACCCAATTCATCTAAATTTATTTCTATATTAAAAAGTAACATTTAATGATAAAATTGATATTATATATTAGGGTTTTTGCAAATGTAACCCATGTTATAAGATCAAATCACATAAACAATTTAACATTTATTATATTTTGTATTATGGCTAGTTTCTTATATTTATTAATGATATAATGTTATATATAAATGATAAATTCCTTGTAAATTTTTTAATTTTCAATGATAAATCCCTTGTATATTAATGTGAACCAGTCATACTTTTAAATTTTTAAAAATTTGATCCATATTTTCTAGGCACCAATTTTTTTAGCCAATTGGCCAATTTATCCCTATATTTAATAAGCGTTTTTCAAATTTTGAAAGAGTAATGGAATGTAAAATTTAGCTTCTTAACGTTATAAGAGGTTCTTTGAAGACCAATAATAGTTGAGTGTGTTGGAATGTTAGAGGTCAAAGGTGGTTAGGTGTTAATCACTTGTTAATAACCCTATTGTGTATATAAAGAGCACAACTTTGAATTTAAAAATAGGAATGTTAACTTGATCATCACCTTATAATTAGTCTCCATTGTTTAGAGTTTGTTCACCAATTAGTGTTAAATGAATTTTCTCTTTTGAAATGCTAGAGGTACTAATTTGAAAGTTTACTGGGTCTCATGTCAAAATTGACAAAGAGACATAGTCTTGACTGTGTTGCGTTTTCGGAGATTCGAACTAGTGGTCAAAAAGCCAAACAACTGAAGTCCATAACTTGAGCCAAGCCTAAAAAAATTTAGGACTACATTTAACAAAATAATACTTTGTGGCCCAAACCTGAAATAAAAAAAATTCATTTTTGAAATTTATAAAAAACTTTAAATATCAATTAATTCTTTAAATTTTTGGTCATTTTATACTAAGATATACTCTCTTAGTTTAAAAATGTAAAACATTTTCTGAGGAGTTAGATATTAAAAAATATAAAGCATTTTTAGTCTTTTAATGTGTAATTATTACATTTTTTTTCTAAAATACCCCTATTGATAATGACTTTATATTTATTATAGGGTGATTAATAGGGATAAATATGAAAAGATAGGGTTAGTTTGAAAGTAGGTAGCTACTTTATTAAAAGTGAGATTTAGTTAAAAATACCTTACATTTTTTAACAGAGTGAGTAATATATTTGAGTACATTATTATAGAGATTTTCTTAAAAATATTTACATTGTCATATTTTTATTATTTTTAATCTATAAAATATTTTAAAATAATATTTAAAATATATTTTAATATTAATTTTAAATTTTAAGAGCAACATATTTTTTTAAAAAAATTGAGTCTTTTACATCTTTTAATGATCTCAAAAAATCTATTTTATATTTTTTATAAAATAAAAATAATTAATTTTTAAGTTATAATCAATGTTTTGAAACCCGGACCGGACATCGAACCAGAAAGGGCAGCGGGTCACGGTTCTCACGGTTCAATCGATTGGACCGGCGATCAAACCGGTGACATAAAAATTAAATAAAAAATAATATTTATATGCACATATATATATATATATATATATAAAAGACATTGGTTTGACAAAAAAAAATAATAATATATCAAGCAACACCACAAATTCACATTGCATAACATGTTCTAATTGCTCAAAATCTTAAACAATGACATCACGAATTCAAAATATAGTCTCAAACATGTTTTAATTGCTCAAAGTCTCAAATAAAGATACCACAAATTCAAAATATATGTCTCAAACATATCATTGCAAAGTTCACAATATCATAATTCATAAGTTTAAATTTTCATGGCTTATCAAATATTGGGGGATCTTGGTTAATCCAAGCATGTGCAGGCTCAAAGGCATCAACATCTTCACTAAAGCTATCAACATCCTCTTGAGAAAATAATTGTAAATCAAGTCCACCAATAGCTTCACCATGTGCCACGTTGCCTTTTTGCTCATTATCTTCACAAACAAACATTCAATGTATATAATCAAATTAATGAGAATCACATGATAAGTGATAAAAAAAGTGAAAACATTAAGTAAAAAATACCAAACCTTCCTCATCCTCTTGATGAATGATAGCTTTTGGTAGCACTGTGTCATCATAAATGAGATCTCGTTCTATATTATCAATATTGAGCAAAGAACAATCATCTTCTTCCATTACCCAATAATCAATTTGATCAATACTTTCATAATCAACAGGGTCCAAAGCTTTCTTCTTGTTAGCAACTCTAATAAAAACACACGATAGTAATAAAGTATAAGGATTCATGTAACTTATTTTTTATAACTACAAATGAAAGCAAAATTTTGAATAATTTACCTATTCCTTAATCGAAAATTGTAATGAATATAGACAAGATCATTCAATCTTTCATGCTCCAACTTATTCCTTTTCTTGGAGTGTATTCTTTCAAAGACACTCCAGTTCCTTTCACAGCCCGAGGAAGATGCAGTTTGGCCTAATATCTTAACAGCCAAGTCTTTAACATTTGGACAGCTGCTCCCAAAATGCTTCCACCATTCATCTATCATGAGAAAAAATAAGTCATTAGAATATATTTTAAAGATAAAAACAATAAATATCAAAGATAAAAGTATACCAGGTCGCATGGTTTTTGCAGATTTCATAGCCAGTGGATGACTAAAGCTTCCACATCTTTCTTGGTATTGTGTGCCTTCTAACAAAAACTTGGTCTTATTAGAAGAAATTTTTCTATCTATCACATTAAGATATCCTTGCATAACCTCTGGCTTTCTAAAAAAATTTTCCTTATCATAAAGGAAAGCAAGATTAAAGAGATATGCTGCTGCATGAAGATTTTGTCGAAGTTGAGAATCCCACCTTCTCTTAATAATACTTGTGTAAGGCTTGTACAAGGATTTTTTGTGCCTAAAAGTATTCTTTATAGCTCTTTTTGCTCTGTACATGCCGTCATAAACATAGCCAAGTGAAGGCCGGTCATCAGAATCAACAATTCTCAACAATCTCACAAGTGGTTTTACAATTTCAACAACAATTTTACAATTATTCCAAAATTGATTGTCCAATACAATCATTGTCACATCCTTTGCCTTTGAATCCTTGTAGTATCTAGATTCTATAAATGTCTTACTTGTTATCAAAGCTTGAATATCATGCTTGTGCTCATAGATACTTTTCAAGGCAATGAAAGTAGTGGCAAACCGTGTTGCACCAGGCCGGATGATTTCTGTCCAACCTTCTCTTTTCCTTAACCAAGCTAGCAAAAAGACATGGTTGTAAATGAATTTTGAAACCATGGATGCACGTGTTGCTAAGCTACTAACAATCTCCATTTTGCCAATATCTGATAAAATCAAATTTAAGCAATGGGCAGCACAAGGAGACTAGAAAATAGAAGGAAACTTATCATTTAACAACCTTCCAGCAGCTTTATAATTAGCTGCATTATCAGTTACCAAGTGGACAACATTGTTTGCACCAGTAAAAGCAACCATATCCATGAATAAGTTGCAAAGATTTTGAGCATCCTTAACAATATCCGATGCATCAACAGATTTAATGAAAACCATTCCTCTAGGGCAATAAACAAGAAAATTAATCAACTGTCTATTTCTTTGATCTTGCCAACCATCAGCCATTATTGTACATCCAGTCTCAGCCCAAAAGCTTCTACATTCATCAACTAATAATTGCACCTCCTTTTTCATGTCTTGTAATAATTTGGTTCTCACAGCATGGTAAGTTGGTCCTTTATAACCAGGGCCAATAGCTGAAATAGCATCTATCATGGGCTGATAGTAAACAGAATTTACAGCATTCATAGGAATGCAACAATCATACAACCACCTAACCACAGCTAAATCCGCTCTATGCAAAGCTTCTTTACCTGCAAATGCACTTCGAATTCCTGGCTGTGCTCCCGAGCTTGTCCTTGGGGCAAAGAATTTGTCTCCAGCTGTAGATGCCTTTCTTTTAGCTAGTTGAGAGGAACTTAAAGGAATTATTTCTTGCACAATTTCATCATCCACTTCCAATGGATTGTCCTCTTCTTTTCTCAATTTCTTAGCTGGTCTCTTTTGATCAATTTCTTTCAAGTTTTCCTCCAATCAATAGCGAACATCATGTGGTACACTTTTACAACTAGTTGCATCTCCTTTTTTTCCAGCAAGGTGTTGTTTCATTCTGTGTATTCCACCACCACCAAATTCCTTTCCACAATATAGGCATCTTAAGCGAGGCTTGCCACCTTTTTCATTTGGTATTGCAGTGCAATGCTCCCATGTAGGATCTGACTTAGCTCTAACAGATTGTGTAGATGCAGTACTAGATATTTGTTCAGATGACATTTTCTAAATTTAAATTGAAAGTACAGATAAAACGTGAAAAAGAGAGCAGAATTAGATCATATTCAGAATTCCATATCAATAAATAACAAAGTAATGAAAAATAAAGCAAACAAGCTGCCTGGAGTCCTAGACGAATTGTGCATACATACTACTCATTATACAAATTACAAACTCAAATACATAGATAGAACATATAAGCTAAAGATTGAACCTGGAAGGAGAGCAGAGCACACCGAGAATCAAACAAGTTAGAGCAAAATGAGAATCACACAGAGGCAGAGGCACGAGCTGGAGCTGGGAGGAGCTGGAGGCAACTCGAGTGGAGGGCTGGAAGCAGAGGCAGAGGCACGAGCTCAGAGTGGCGAGTGAGACGAGAATGGCTGACAATGGTGATGAAAAATCTGGGTTTGGGCTGAGAATGGCAAGCAAGATGCGAGAAGGATATGAATCAAAATTTTGAATTTTAAGCTTGATTAGTTGATCATTAAAGATGAGAAATAGAGAAAGGCGAGAGAGAGACCAGACTCACCAGATTGGAGGAAAATGAGTTTTGAGCTCTGGCCTCTGAGACTGTGTCTGAGGCCGAGCACCACAGTGGTGAAGTGAAAATGAAGTCGTGAATCGTGATAAATCACAGAGGAATGCGACAGTCGGCGAGCTACAAAACGAAAGTGCTTCGTGGACCACCAGGTGAAGAAAGCAGCAGAGAGTATTTGATTATTCCTCCTCACTTTACTGATCACCCTGATTTGAGACCGCGAGAGTGAGCTCGCGTTTGTTCGTCTATGGAGTCTGGACTCTAGAGTCTACCAGAACCAGAGGTGCGAGAGGCGAGACGGCGTGACAGAGGGAGAGAGTAGCCAGTGTCTGTGCTTCAGCCTTCAAAGTCGAGACTTGAGAGTTCAGACTTTAGACTTCAATTCGGCCTCGGCGGCGGCGTGGCGCAAAAGCAGAAGTGCAGACTGCAAAACCGTAGAAGCCCTTAAGTTTTTTTTTATTTTTTAAATTGACCCGGATTGACCCATGTTGAACCGGACCCGGGTTCCGGGTCAACTCCGGTTCAATGAAAACCGGACGGTTCTTTCTAGGTCAATCCGATTCAATAGCTTCAATTGGTTGAACCAGACCGCTTCAGTCACCGGATGACGGTCGGACCGGTCGAAACCGTCCGGTTCGGTCCGGGTTTGACATCATTGGTTATAATTAATTTAAAATCAATTTAAAAATAAAAAAATTGATAATTCAAATATTTGAACCAGTCTGAATAATCCCAAAACCTGAAGAGGTTTAGGATGGATATGGGCTGTTTGGCTTTTTCAAAAAATCAGGTTTATTCAGATCAATTTGAATTGAGTTTGGCCCAAATATCCTCGAACCATCGAAAGTACTGGCTCTACCAAGAACTAGCTAAAGAGTATGGGCTTCCAGCATGCTCAGATTATGGATGCACGTGGATTTAGTGGAGGTTTGTGGTTCCTTTGGAATGAAGGACAGTGGAAGGTGGAGATCTTGGAGGTACATTTTCGGTTTATTCATATGAGTTTCTAACGGTTCAGAGTTGTGTTATGCTTCAATCATTTATGCAAGCCCCAAGCCAATGAATAGAAGGTTAGCATGGCAGGAGTTAAAGTGGCTGAGCACAGGAATTGATGGCTCGTGGTGTTTAGAAGGGGACTTTAACATACTGGTTGATCACTTGATTTGGAATGCACAAGAGGGAAGCAAGTAAGAGTCGTTTGGATCGGGTACTTAGCAACTCTGTTCATGGATAAATTTCCTAATCCTTCTGCTATTAACCTGCCTTTTGAGATTAAGAGACGATGACATACGTCATATTGGTTTTGAAAGACCCTTCCGTTTTGTGGCTTCAAGGGTTTTGCACGATGACTTTGACAGGCACATGAAAGATACTTGGAAGAACAATAATGACCGGCATGAGAATGTTCAACAATTTACGAAGGCTATTCAGGTGCGGAGGAAGGATTTGTTTGGGCACCTGGGGAAGAAGAAGGCCCACTTCTTAAACAGGCTTAAAAGACTATCGAGAGCGGTACCCAATTGTTGTAATAACCATGCACTTGAAGATGATCTTCTGGCGCAATTAGGGAAGGAGCTTGAGAATGTGTTACGTCAAAAAAGTATTTTATGGGCAAGAAAGATAAGTGCGAGTGGTTCCAAGTTGGAGACAAGAATACTAAGTATTTCCACTCTCGTGGAAATGCCAGAAGGAAGCCGAATCAAAATTGTTTCTTTGTAGAATGATGATGGGAATTGGACGTATGAAGAGGAGGAGGTTAAAAACACTGCTCGAAACTTTTTTACGACCTTGTTTGGTCGTTGAACGGCTCTGTACTACAACGTCTTATCATACTATTGAGGGTTCAAAAACGCGCCAGCTCGCTCAGAATTTTGGTGATGAGGAAATCAAGAAGGATTTTTTTTTCTTTTTTTGAGATGGGGGCTCTGAAATCACCTGAATTGAATGCGTTATTTTTCTAAAGCCTGTGGGAATATGTGCGAGGGTCTGTGTCGCATGGTATTTTCAGGGATCCTGCTGCTGTGCAATGCTTGAATGGTATCTTCTAGTGCTTATTCCGAAGAAGGACTAGCCAATCACCGTAAAGGATTTTCGTCTGATCAGCCTTTGTAATGCTATCTATAAAGATATAACAAAAATGTTGGCAAACAAGATTAAAAGATTTCAGGATTTCAAGATTTCTCCCTCAAGTAATCACTCTAAATCAGAGTAGTTTCATTGCAGGTAGACTTTGCTCTGCTAAAATTGTTGTGGCACATAGAGTGATTCATTCTATGAGGAATTTAAAAGGTAAAAAAAGTTTTATGACAATCAATTTTGATTTTGAGAAGGCCAATGATGGACTGGGATGGGATTTACTTGGTGAAAGCATTGATCAAATATGGCACTCTACTTATCCACTCTGACCATGCAGATTCTCCGCTGTAAGGTCTAAAACTCAGGAACTCTATCCTTTCCGGGGCATACGGTAAGGCGCTCCTGTCTCATCTAATTAGTACTTGAATAAAAAATCTTGCTATTATTTGTATAAAAACACTTGTTTATTTAATTCAGGATGAAGTTAATAATGGGAATTGGAGGCCAATTAGGCTCAATAAAGATGGCCTGCCACTGATTTTGATTCAAGTAATTTAATTTAATTTAATTCTTAATAAAGCATTCTCATGTGCAAAGTACAAAATTAAAATTTTGAGACACCAAATTGACAAAAAATACCATTTTATGAGGAGATAAATTGATATTATTTTATTTTAAGATAAGATTTTATTTTAGTTCTAGGAAAAGAAACGTAATCGCACTAGCAACTGAGCCCTGTTTATGTCGCGGAATTCAATACAAGTTTTTCTTTTTTATGAACAAAACATTGCATTCCTTTCGTAATATTTAAGTCAAGTATTTAAAAAAAAAAAAAAACAGTGAGGGAAAGGGAAAGGGTAAACTGGGCATAATATTATTTTAAAAAAAAAAAAGTTGCAAAAAAACTAACATGTCTGTCAATGAAAAACTAACATGCCCGCCCAATTTTGAAGGCTATCTCATGACTCATCTGATCAACAATTCACAAACATGTCTGTAAATGAAAAACTAAGGGCCTTAAAACTGCACATCTATCCAAAGAATATAACTAAGCAAAAAGTTTCCCATAGGATTAAAAAGCCAACATGTGATTCATCTCTCCCACAAAATTTCAAACAGGCTGTGGGGCTGACTGATACTATTCCCATTCTCATACTAACCTAAACGAAAATGCCATTTCTTCAGTACTTCGTATTGGGATTATCACGCAAACCTAGCTTGGAAATCACCAAACAGTAGGAATCCCAGTCAGTTCTTCTGAGGTATTTCAGTAAACTTTTCCTCTTCTCAACCATAGCTACCAAGCCTTTACGAGAATGTTTATCCTAAAATGTCATATAAGGAAATGAATCAAGAATTAAACTCAAATGCCGTTAGATATATAAAACTGATAAGATGCTTAATCTTGGTTGTCAGTTGTGCAAGATATACCTTCTTGTGTAGAACTGATGACAGATGCTTAATCTTAATTGTGAGTTGTGCAACTGCAAAGGAATCAGGGGAAAAGTATTAGTTTTATTAAACTGAATGATTGAAAATAACACTTCATCTTTAACCAGGATCTATTTAGCCTAGTCAACCAAAATGGTAATTAATTAACAAAGATATACCCTTTACCTTGAACACGAGATGATCCACAATCTGACTCGGACATTTTAAACTCCTCCCTCACTCTTGCAAGCTCAATTTTCAACTTTTCAGCTGAAGACATGTTATCTGGATGGAAGTACTGCATTAAACATAAAGCAACCACATCAGGCATCAAATTATCACAACTGTTTATATTGTGGTCAACAGCAATTAAGTACACAAACAAGAATAACAATTTGTATTCACTTTATTGTCCAAAACTCAGAACAGTGCTGAATCACATGACAAGTTAAGGTGATAAAAATGTAGTCTGCTTTAGAAAATACTAACCATCTCAACAAGATTCTCTTTAGGAGGTTGCAGCATGAAGCTTGGAGTCCGGCCCAGCTCACCCAAGATATCAAGTCTCTGGACTGGAGAATTCATATCGTTAGTTCACTTTGGAATAAAACTGTCACGTATGAATGAATATGCTTAGAAAACCCTCTACATCACAATAAGAAAAGAGGCACCTGACATATTAACAACCATAATAAACTAGTGCTTACATATACTTTTCTTTTCCTGGCTCTCATTAACCTTCATTTGAATCATGATGTCTCTAAGTTCCTTATTAAAAGATCTGGGTGATTGCTTATTCTCCTCCTCTTCCATTTCCCTCAATTTCACCAACCTATCATTCAACTCCCTCAAAGAAAACCAGTCCCCTCCTTTTGGCTTCGGCCTCAATTTTCTCAATTTCTCTCCTAATTCCTCATAGTTGTATGTCTTCAGAAACTCCATCTTCATTTCATCGGATCCCTCCCTTCTCTCTTTCTCCCTCAACTCCTTGCCGAAAACCGACGCTGGCAATTCACCAGTCCCCCCAAATAACGTCGACGATGTCCGAGAACCAGTGGAGTCTGAAGGCTCCTTTCTTAAACTCTGGGAAAATGCCGATAACGACGATAGCTCCCCGTCTTTCATGTCACCTCCAGAGAGCGCAGCATTCTGCACTCTATTCCGCACGCTTTCACGAATCGCATCGAAAGAAAGTCTTCCTCCAATTTTACGAGGCTTCAAATCAGCATTTGGCGTCGATTCACCCGGTTTTCCAGCCATGTTTCTCCTATAGATCTCCTGCAATGAGATTTGATTCGAGAGAGGTGAAGACGGAGGCGTCGAATCTGAGCTCGGGTGACGACGCCGGAACTCGGACAGGTTCTTCCGGATTTCATCAAGCGATGCAGCTCTATACGGCCTCGGTGCAGTGAAACCGGAAGCAGCAGAAGATGAATTTGAGGGATTTCTCGAAGTGAACGAGGAAGAGGAACTGCCCTCTTTCAGGGCCCTCTTGACATCGCTGAAATAGGAAGAGAAGGGAGAATCAGTGTTTGTAGAAGGAGGATCGTCGGAGGAAGCAGTGGTAGAATCGGGATCATCGTCGTTGGAATTGAAGGTAGAGAAGTAATGGAAGATAGAAGGGCTTGTGAAGGCATTCATTTTGGTTCTCGTTCTGAGTTGGAGAAGTAGAGCCATGGCGGACGATTGAGTTTTCAGAAGGTTAGGGTTTAGGAGAAGTTCAATCACAGCGACCGCTGTGACTGCTATCGAGTCCGGTTTGGATGCCCATCGCGACGATGAATACTGTAATAAAATCTGAACCATCCAGATTTTGATTTGGATGGTTCAGATTTAAAAAATTATTATATATTTTTATTCTTTATATTAATTAAAATAAAAATTATAAAATAGTTTTAATAAATTTTTTATTTTTAATATAATTTAAATTTAATTTAAAACATTTAATTTAATGTTAAAATTTTTATAACTAATAGATATTGATTACTCAATATATTTTATATATTAATATAAATTTGATCAATTAATAATAAATTTAAATAGTTAATATATATTATTTATAAAAATTTTAATATTAAATTAAATTATTTAAATTATATTAAAAAAATTTATTAAAATTATTTCATAATTTTTATTTATTTTTATTTTAGTAAATATAATATATAATAATACTTAAATTATTTTAATAATTTAAATTTTGTCGGCATCCAAATCCATTTCGACGGTTATCACTCACTCAGAAAACAAAAAACCCACTACACTCCCAGGTCACAAGCAAATTAAACATAAAAAGTCACAGCTTGGGGCCTCGTCCATATAGCATTTTGGGTGACAAAATTAATCAACTTTAAATTTCACAGTTATGGTTCTGTGAAAAATTAAAAATATATTCAAACATTGTTATTATTCATTGAAATTAATTATAGATTTAATTTAAATTCATGACTTTTAAAAAAATATTTAAACACCCCTTCTACGTATTAAAATCAATTATAAATTTAAAATTATAATTTTTTTAAAAATATTTAAAAAATAATTATATATATATATATGAATAAATTATAAATTCAAAACTATCACATATTGAAAAAAAAAATTGGATTGAAGCACAAGCCTGCTTGAATGTTGACAAAAAAGTGCGGTTAATATCCTTACATTTTAAAAATATCACTCAACGTTTTCAAAAATGATATAATTTTACCCTGAAATAACAGATTGACATGGCACACGCATAGACATCCACGTCATCTTTTCTCTTTGGGAAATGAGATAATAATAATAATAATAAATTTAAGTAGGTCCCGCATTCACCTTACACCTCATCATCCTCCTCCTCTACTCCTCTATCATTGATTTGAATGTCCCATTCCTCCTTCGCTCCTCTATCCTGCTCCTGCTCCTCTTCTCCTTCTTCACGTTCAGTAGGTGGTTCTTCTTCTTCCACCACTATGCTGAAGACCACGCTTCCTCAATGCCAAACGCTTCTTCTCCACTTTACAAATCATCCATTGAACGGTTGAAGCTTCATCTCCTTTGGATTTTTTTTTTATTTTTGATTTTTATTTGTTTATCTGCTGTAAATATGCATCTGAATTTCTTGTGACTATGAACAATTATTGCTTATGGACTTGAAAGAGAAATCCGATATGCTTGAACAAAAGCAAAACCCACAAAACAGTTTTGATTGCTTCCTTGTTTTGACGTGGCCTGGGATTTGAAAGGAGGTTAAAACCCAACAAAGAGGGTCACTGGGGTTCGTCGCCAGATTGTCGTATCAAAGAGTCATGGAATTAATAGAGATTCAAGGCTCAAACGTCTCTTTCGCTGGATCACTTCACTTTTCGCAATATTCGACGGCGTCGGGGACGCCGTCAGAGCTGGCGTCGGTTTCGTTTGCTTCTGGTTCTCAATCAACTGTAGTCTTTGGTGGAGTTTTATCTTTCTCTTAACGGGAGACTGAGGATGCTGAAGGGAGACCCCATCTCCATTGCTGCTTCTGATCTTAGAATGAAAGCCTCAGATGATGTTGGAGGGCGTGAGGGCTTGGTGGTCAAACATGCCATGTAGATATTAACAGGTCAATTAACAACCAGCCAGGTCAAATTTGACAGTTTGGCAAAATTATACTGTCTTCAAAAGCATGGGAGCGACATTGCTCTTTTTAAAAGCATAATGATATCAATTGTGCCTGCTTGTAAACATCTTGAGCAAATTTGTATTTTAACCTCAAAAAAATTATATAATTTTTGAATAAATTTTTTAAAAAATAGAATTAAAAAATAAAAAATAATAGCTTATGAGATAATCATAACTTTATATTCATAATTAATTTTGTCATGCAATAGAATGTATTTAAATATATTTATATAAAACCATATTTTAATTTTTCTTTTCAATTATACTTAAAATCAATCTTGTCAATTAATTGATTAAAGTATACATTTAGTTTTTTAAATTTTACATAATATTTTATTTTAACCTCTTAACTTTATAAAATATTTTTTTAATTCAATCTAACACTATTAGTTTTATTATAATAAATTTTTGCATTAAACTTTTAGATATTGACAAAATATTATCAAATGTTAATATATTAAGTTTAATTTTTTAAAAAATAAAAATAATTGACAATATTTAATCATTTAAAACTAACAATATTAAAGTTAAAAGATTAAAAATATACTTTACAAATTAAAAACTTATATTAAAATTTTATATAAAGTTAAAAAATTAAAAGTATGCTTTAGTCTAATTAATTATATCACATAACCTAATTAATTATATTTAAAATTAATCATATTAATCAAATTTTATAATCAATGTGATCCACGGATATTCAAAGGAAGCCTAAAGAGTCAGGACCTTCTTATGGCCTAATATTTCAATCTGATTCTAATTGTGGTGGATTTTGTGAATCAACGAGTTATACTCATCAACAGACTCTCCTCCGTATTGACGTCAATTATCAACTTGATGCGAGGGAGATGAACATATAGTTGCCGACAAAATTGCTAAGGAGACTCTCAAGAATAGGCAACTTTTCACTTTCATTGATCCGGTTCCACGTTAATTGAGGACCCTAGTGCATGCTCATGAATTGGGATCTGCATCCCATCCTCTTTTTGTAATATTTCTTATCAATACTGCAATTTAAAACATTTTTTAAAAATTTGCTTGCTCTATAATATCATACTAATTTTTTTAATTATATTCCTATTTCAACTGTAATTTTTTTAAAAAAAGAGCATTGAAATTTAAATAATTTTTTGTTTATAGTAGATAATATTGTAAAGTTTTTAAAAGTTGATGAAAAATATTGTATTAAAAACTAATTCAAAATCCTAAACACTCTTAAATTTATAATTTAAAAGCCAAATTATATTTTAACCCATATTATTATGACACTTATATAAAATATTTACTGAGAATATAATTAAAAAATATGCAATATTTTTAAGATATTAAAGTTTTATGTAATTTTTCAAAATTTTAATTTCTTTTCATAATTTTTTTAAAATTTAAAAAATTATTACTATTGGAAGAGCATGAATTCTCCGCCCTCCTTTCCCATCCCCCACCCTTCTTTTCGAATGATGTCTCGCCCCAAAAAAAAAAAAAAGTTGCTAGCCACCTGGATGATTTAAAAAAATTGCACATATAGCATTACACACTTTATTTGAAAATTATTTCAAACGACCACAAAATAAACCACGAAAATTACATAATTTTTGCAGTGAAAAATTCTCCTAACGTTAGAGATAAAAAAATGAAACATGGTTTAATATAAAATCACGACCACTAAACTAGTAAGCCATCAAACATAACAATGAGTTTCCAATAATTATTAAAAATTCAACTCGTCTTACCCCACTATCAAATTATCATAGGAATGTTTACGGAAAAGAAATTACCATAGGGATGATGCACAAAACTCAACCCAAAGAGTAAAGAGAAATAAACTAATCACTCAGATAAACATTAGCAGTGCTCAGAACATACAAGAATTTTATAAATATCAAATTAGCTTAGATTCTCCGACCATGACCACATAGCGAATAAACGCTGCCAAAGGAAAAACTGACTTTTAGGCACACTATATTAACCATAATTATATTAAATGTGGTTAAAATAGGTCCTAACTACATATATTTACATCCTAGTTATAACTTGTCTGAAGTCTTGATTACAAGTAACTGTGTTCAAGACATCAATGACATCGATCCCCATCAGGCTCAATCAGACCACATGTACCATTCAACAATGCTTACCAAAATAAGCAGCACAACTACCAATCACATTATATACAGGGCCTCAGTGAAAGAACCGAAATGCTTGAATTATCATATCTGCGCAACATGTAATTACACTTATCAGTGATCATTTCTATCAAGACGATGGAGAAGAAGGATCAAGGCTTGCCCCAAAAGAATTTTTCGGACAACGTTGAAGAAACCTATGAAAGAATGAATGTAGACTACGTCCCACATGATGACGTGTCAGAATCTCTACACTACCATCGCTACCTTCATGACCTCAAAATACAATATTTCCCATCATGGTTTTGACGTTGATCGATTCAGGACCTACGGCTACCTTACCACAGCCTACTTGGTTAGGGCTCACTCATAACTGTCGTGTTGCATCTCATTCAAGCATATATACTAGGAACAGAGTAATCCTGGTCCAACTTGTGAGCAATATCAATCAGGAAGGACAAGTCCTTTTTTCCCAGTTTATTTCATGTCAAAGCATTGGAGTTTAAATCCTCCTCCACAGGCAGATTTAGATCAGGAAGTAAGAATGAGACTTCTTGCTCAATAGTCTCTTGTGCTTTGATTGGATTGGTTGGACAGATATGTGGTGGCGCATCACTAAGAACTTTGTTCGTGAGGCTTGTCGATGAGGTTGCATTACATGAATGAGACTGTTCCTCCTCAGTGGCCACGGACGCTGAGTCTGTTTTAAAGGCCTTTCCAGACTCCAAATCAAGCTGTTACGACAAATTAAGGAATAAATTAGATTATAAAACATCATATTGAATGCTAAAATAACCATAAAATAGTTGTTAGGATAAGTTTTGAACTTAGCAATGGAATCAGTAAAACCTCATTTTGATTATTTACAGATTTAGTATTTCAATTTAGTTCCTAATAAAGCATTCTTATATGCAAGATCCCAACTTGATATTGTGAGACACCAAATTGAAAAATTTCGGTTTTTTTTTTTTTTTGTGAGGAACTAAATCGATAGATACTTCATCTATGAAAAGACCAAGGTATGATTTTATTTTAGTTACAAAAAATATAATATATATACCACTATTTATGTCACATGTGTCAACCAAGGAAAGGACAGAATACAAGGGAAAAATATTTATGACACAGACATAATGAATTTGACAACTATGAGCAGTAATTGGCTGTAATAGTGGTGACAACTCGCGGTACATATGAGCTGATTGGTCAAACTTGAAACAGAAGGGTGCATTATAACTAGCGGAAGAAAGTAACCCTATTTCAAATTTCAATGACCGATTGGATCATTGCCACACTTGAGCATAATTATGGAAACGCATGATATCATAAAGCATAAAAAAGAAAAAAAAGCAGACAACATAAAGCAGAACAGGAAGGTCACCTTCATTCTCTTTAAGCTTTTATTTGCGGCCCTATGTTTCTCGACAGTGAGACGCAAGGAGGCCAGTTCCTGTTCAAGATTCATGACAATACAAAGAAACATAAGACGAGAAATAAGTTATGACCGAAACCAAAAATCTTTGAAGTCCATAATAAAACGTACATTTTTCAAATTTTTCCTTTCCCTTAACAGGAAATTCTCTTCCTCCTTTAGTTCAACTAAAGTCTGCAAAATAGCATCATCAAAATGTGTTAAGCAGGCAGATGATGAATTCTCAGGTTCGATGACAGCAAAGTGACCAAAACAAGGTGACTTGACCATAAAGGCGTGTATATATGTATCTCCTGCTCATTTCCACTCTATTTGATGATTCTAACACATGCAACGGCCTAATATATATATATATATATATATATTATCATGACATTTAATACAAATAATCTTTATTCTCGAAACAAATATAAGGAGACATGTGGATCCAATGCTGGCTGTTTCGTGAAAAAGTAGGTACATTACCTTTTTTCTTCGAGATCTTTTTGTACTGGTTGCTTCACTTGGATTCTTAACCTGCCAGATAACAAAAGACTGGACCATCAAAATCCTATCATATGAAAATAAAATAACTATTCAAAAATATGGAATTTAGGAATTTGATAATTGCATAATCTTAGGTAAAAGGACAAGTGCTTGCGATTAAGAACAAGTAGGTCGGGTGGCTCATTCATACAGCAGTTTCAAACTTCAAGAGTACATGATGGAGAGGAATTGGAAAGATAATCTTTGAAATTAATACTAAAACAAACCAAGAACAATGATTTTAGTTTTCATGAATACCATTCGAAATGACTGAAGAACAGAGACAAGATGTATACAAGATTGTGATCAAGGAAGACGTATACTGTTTCCTTTTTGTCTAAGCAAATGAACAAACCTTGATTTCTTTTATTTTCCCGCTCCTTTGCCACGCAAACGAAAATCCACATACATGCCGAAAATATGCTTCTATGCAGATTCATAATCAACTTATACCAAGAATTTAGTCAGCATGGCAAGCCAAAGTCTTTGATAATACCATAATATATCTTTTCCTCGGTAAAAAAATAAAAAAAATTGCTGCGATAAATTCCCGGTGGCGGCAGCACGGGGAGGAGGGAAGAAACCAAGAGACTCAGAAAAGGTACAATCTCAATAAACTACCACTAAACGGCCAAAAATCAGACAGACTTGTACAGTTCTACACTGACTCAGCAAAATACAGATACATGTTAAAAAGAAAAATATAGATTTACTTTTTAAGCACGCATCTCTCACAAAGCTACCGTACTCAATGTCCCATATTCTTTGCCCAACTGATATTTTCCTTGCCATCATAAATCTCGTTCACAGAGCAATAGCTTGGTTGTGGCTGGGGTAAATATTGCAGTTCAAAAATACATTACCTACTCCATCGCACGCATTCGCAGTGAATAGTAAATTCATTCGATCGGATGGAGAATTAATTAAAGTACGATGGATTCGAAAGATAGACACTTTCCGGTCCTAGACCCTCTCAAATCTGAAGTCTTAACACCAAGCCCGTCAAGAAAAGTATGATCGACACGAAAGAAGGGAACTTTTGAGCCTAAGACCTTTTCATGGGCGGCATAGGAAAAAAAAAAAAAATTTGGAAGCAACGAGCCAGATTGAGTTGCTTTATGCCCTTGAAATGGTGACCAAGTGGTCCCCATATATATAGGAGGCTAGCAAAATGGCACCTCCACGGCTAGTCTTCCTCCTCGCATTTAACGGAGAGAAGCATCTTTCTAGTCATTCACATTTTCATTTCCTTTTCCAGGAGATATGATTTTATTTTAAATCATCTTAAAACTTAAATCTAAGAAGGGCATAACAAAAGAGCCAAACTAATTCTAATTCCATCTTCTGATCGTTTCAATCCCAACCATTGCCATTGATGTTTGCTAGATTCTTACTTTTTGGACCCTACCAAGCATAAAAACACTAGTAGTACAGCAGCCTGTCATTCTAATGAATAGCCCCAAATAAAAATTCCATCCACTTTTGACTTTGCTGATCATGTACGTTGCCATCTTTCCCGCGAATAGAAAGGATCGCCATCATGCTGTCAAGCAACAGATGCGGTACACTACATTGAAATTAATACTCCCTCTTCCTCCCTCCCTTGCTTCTACAAAATTATTTCTCCCATGAATTAAATTAATTTAACTAATTTATATTTAAATCTACTTTTATTTTCATATTTCTACCCTCATTTAATGTCATTTCACTGGCTAACTTTAAATGAGAATACAGTATTTATAACAAGAGACATATATTCTATGCAGATATATTGAAAAAAAAAATATTAAATACACCTCAAATTTTATAATTTATCACATAAATATAATTAAATCACATCCAAAATTGTCTTGTAAACAGAGACGGGGGGAGGGAGAGTGTGTGCATTAATATAATTAATATAATAACTAAATTATAGTTAATTAAAAAATATATACTCATTCGTTAAAAAACATAAGGTATTTTTTAAAAAATTTGATTAAAAATATTAGGTATTTTTAATTGTTTTGAAGTATAATCATTACCTTTTTTTTAAGTATTTTATATTTATTATAAAATATTTAATAAAAATAAATATAAAAAAATAGAATTAATTTAAAAATATATAATTAATTTATTGACGGTGGTATTCCATCAAAAATTTACACACTCATTTGACCTCACGCATGATGCGTGAAACCACGACGCAAAGGGTGAAGCGCCTGCGGAAGAGCAAACACTCAAAAGTGTCCGACCACTACCAACAATACACCAAACTGCACGCAGACAATATTGCCACGAAAACACGCTATCAAAACAGCAGGTGAAGCAAGGATGATATTACCGACATACCCCTCCCAGTAAATCCCTTGTACAAATACTATTATTTACCTCACCCAGTCGGAGCGTTGAATGCAGGCGCGACAAAGCAGGTAAAGAGCGCGACCGCGAAGTTGAAGTCCAGTTCTTCAATCTTCCTACTCATGAAAAAGACATACGCACCCATCTGTGATAGGGCTTTTTCGGTCATTTCAAGACTATGCGTGACGCAGAGCGGAAAAGTGCGAGAAGGAAACGTGATGGCCTCTGACTCCATGCGCGGAATTTAGGTCACTCATTTTTTCTGAAGGACTTGAAATGAAATTTATTGATAATAAAGTGGATCCATCTCGGATTTGTCCGATATTAGTAGTTTTTAATTACCACGAGTCAAAAACTAAAAAGAAGTTTCAAGGAAGACACCGTGGAAGGCTGAATCGTCAACATCAAAAACTATATTCTCTCGTGATAATATAAACAGGAAAAATCAGGGTCGAACTTTTTCGGAGGGCATCTTGTTGAGCAAGATTAGGCAATAGGAAATGGTCCGGTTACTGGAGAAGCTCCAGCCGTCAGAGGGATTATCGGTATGGCGTAACGGTGAATCTGCTGCCACAAGGCGAACAAAGGTTGGTCCAAAACTGATACGACGGCAAAGGAAAACGCGGTAGGGGCCATCTACTTAAATTATTTCCACCTGACTTAACACGGATTCGTCAAGGTAAATATCCAAGTTGAAGAACTAACCGCCACGCTACGTAGATAGAGAAGTTTCGAAGCCGTGTGATTTGACGTTCGAAACTAAGACACACCACAGGAAAACCGAACGCATCTCCGGTGACCGGAGATCTGTCACCGGAAGACCGGTCTGTCACCGGAAGACCAAAAAAAAACAGAACAGAACAGAAAAATTCAACCGAAATAGAAAGACCAAGCAGCAAACCTTCTCAGATCTCGAGCTTTCCACCCGTTTGATCGGACAGCTGGACTCTTCGCAGCCATCAACGGCGCCGCCGCCGCCGCCAAAGCTAGCAGACGTGGCACAGCTCCAGGAGAGCGGCGTGGTAGGGCTAGCTCTCGTCGGTTCATCCTTCCCTTCGGAGCCACGGTGTCTGGGAACCGACCTGGAACGACGCTGACGCACAGTCCAGTCGACGCGAAGACAGGGAGGCTGTTTTTTGGTCAGAGAAGGAGGAGGAGGAGGAGGCGGTGGAGTATCTTGGTGGAGACGGAGGAGAATCTCGACGACGACGGAGTCATCGGACATGGCCACGTTGATCCAGTCTTCGTCGCACATCTCGCAGACACTGAAGGGCGTCGCGAGAGAGAGAGAGAGAGAGAGAGATGGACAGTGGCGAAGGAGAAGGAAGCGAGAAGGCGAAAATCTTGTATGGGGGTGTGTGTCGTTGGGAATGTTAAGTAAATAATAAATAATGAATAATGAATCACGATGGTGTGGGGGCTCTGTGCGTGTTTGTGTGTCGCACTGTGTGCAAGAGAGGGAGAGAGATAGAGGAGAGAGAGGATGGTCTTTGTTGACAAACCCTTTTCTTGTTCTTGTGGATCATTCTTCTCTCATCGGGGTCCACTTTCCTTCTTTGGGGCTTTCTCTCAAAGCGTTGGCTTTGTCTCATGGTTTGCTCAGTCCACTCAAGTGATCCCGATCGTTCCTTTGATCTAACACTAGATTCTCATTGCCTAATGGAATATTGTCATTGCCAAGGATGAATTTTGTGCCTGTCATTCTTGTAAGCTCTCTGGACCGTTCATCTATATTTTCTCAACCACCTTGCCCAGTTTTCCCTTGTGGGCTCGCTTCTCTCAATAATCAACACCATTTCTCAATGAGGAGATCAGGTTTTCATTTCTTTTCAAGATCAAACGAGTAGAAATGGCTGATCACCATGAGTAACTCTTTGACATTTTCTCAAGTAATCGAATCAAAAAGAAAAAAAAAAATCACATTGCAATAACACCAGTCTTGTTGCCACAAATGTTATAGCTCAGACTTACTAACCTTGCAAATACTTGAAGTTCTCTTATAACTAAAAATGGTAAATGGACAAAATAATACTCATATAGTGCCACCATCATTTGTTCATTGCATAAACAATTGCAAGAGTAGCTCCCTATCATATATACCACCAACGCTATGTTATTGGTGAATGAACTTCGCTTATACATGCCATGAGGTGAGAATTCTACTTTATGCATAAAGGCATTAAGTGTAGCACTTTATTTGTAGTAAACTGTCTGGTATCTAAAATCATATTGGATTCTGGCTAATTTGAATTCAAGTTGAGTCGGTCTTAAACATTGATATATCTCCTAAAAACATTTCTACATTTATGCAAAATTAACAAGACAATGTATTTGATTGATCATAGATTCTTTCATTACGACCAATACTTATTAATTATACGAGCACATATCTAATTTGTATGCTACATTGCTATGCACCTGTATGGTTGTTCAAAATTATGAAATGCCACAAGCCCTAAACTTAGGCTTCAGTTAATACCACGTTGAGTTCGTTAATTAAGAGTTGTCGCTGCCTCTTCATGACATCACTTGAAGTTTCTTCCCCCTGTTTTATTTATAAATTACTTTTACATTTTTTATTATAATAAAAAAATTTAAATTTCATTAATTTTGTTTAAAAATTTAATAAATTTTTAATTTTATCCCCATTAAAAATATATACTTTAAAAATAAAATACACTAATATTTAATAACATTTTTAACATTTAATAATGATAAAAGGGTAAAGATAAACACAAAAATCATTGAGCTATCCTTATAAATAGAATAAATATAAATATTTTTTTTATTTTATAAATAAAATTTAAAAAAATTATTTGGAGAGCCCACTCGAAGGATTTGGCAAAAACCCATAAGCAAATCGCTAGTGGCACCTAGACCGGATTTCGCTGGAGCGAGAGGATAGAAAGTCAGACTTCGGGTAAACCTTGTGCTTGAAAGGGGACTAATTAAAGCGCGCTTGCAAGCTTTGCTAAACTTGTTGACCAAAGTTTTGTTTTGCACAGTCTCGACCATGCTAAAATTTGGACGATTTCATGTTTTATTTTTCTTCTTTTTCTTATAAATTAAAATCAGTAATTTGATAAGCCAGGCATATTCAAATTAACCTAATTAAGATGAATTTATAAATAAACTTAGATAGTCAAACCTAACCCAAACCTTTTTAAACTTATTTGGGCTAACTCAAATATTCAAATTATCTATTTTTTAAATTAATTATAATTTAATTTTTATATTTTTTTTGGGTACTTAAATGAAGTAGAAGACTCAAACTTTTAAAATGAAACATGTAGATCTTAAAATTTAAAAATAAATATTAAAATATATTTTAAATATTATTTTAAGATATTTTATAGATTAAAATAATAAAAATATGTCAATATAAATATTTTATTTTTTAAATATATCTATAATATTATATTTAAATATATAGTATCTTATATGACCTAAATTTTAAAGAATTAATTAATACTCTATATATTTTTAAAAGTAGTTTTTTTATTTAGGTATTCAAGTAAAGCCTGAATTCAGTCAGGTTTGCTTGAATAAATCTGAATATTAAAAAAGTATGATTTTATTAAGCAAGGTCCTAAATTTTTTTTAGGCTTTTTCAAGCTTGAATTATCAACTTTAATCTAAATAAATATTTTGACGAAAAATGGAGACAAATTAGCAATAAATTTGCACCATAAAATACGTCATAAAATTGTAAATGATAAAATAAGCAATCTTATGGATATCTTGACTCTCCCGAAATATTTCATTTTTATTTTTAAAATTATAAACCATTTGTTAATTTTATTTTATCATTACTTATTTCAAATTAATGTTTTAGATATTTATGTTTTTTATTTCTTTTATCTTTCTGGTTTGATATAGTTAGTAAATACTTAATAACATATTAATTTCTTCACCACAAGTTAAACCATAATCCAATGGAAACTAAATCCAATGAATGCTAGCCACTCACTTAATAAGTGTTTCATATGATATGATAATAATCATTTGATTTGAACGAATGGCTATTAGAGATTTGTCATATATTCAGAAGGTATCAAATCTTAAATTTTTAAAGAGGATAATATATATGAAAAGTATTTTGATTATGAGGGTTGTTTTACATTTTTTTAAGAGAAATGTATCTTGATAATTTTTAAATATGGATGAAATTCAATAGTTATAAATGGCACACTCATTAAGTGAATAGATTAAAGTCACTTGTTATATTCAAATCTTAATCAAATCATGGATTCTAAAACTATTGCCTTTGATGATTCCAAAATCAGTGACTTGACTGTTAATAGGAATAGCTTTTGTTTGGGTTGTATGTAAAACTTTAATCGCTTTTAACTCATTGATTATTGTTGTTTTAGTTATCTCTTGTCATTCTCATTCTATTAATCTCTACTGCTATAAAGAGGGGATCTTGTTTTTCCCCTGGTAAAAAAGCAAATATATTAATAAAAGAAAAGATAAGTTTACAAAGTAAGCCTTAAAACAGGTTTTTAAAAATAAAAGAAAGAGAAGGAAAAAACACAAAATGTTGGGACCACATTTTCTTAAGGGTGCATTAGTTGTTAAAGGTATGCAGAAACTTTGAAATGTCTTGATCCACGAGATGCTGTTGATTATAACAGAAGCGAACCCTCTTGTTGTTTCTAATCTTCAAATTCCCCAAACTTGCAAGTTTAAGTTTTCGATCCAAAACAAGAGGTAGCAAATACAGAAAACTAAGAAATGATGCAGGGAGATGGCTTTAGATTTGCCAACAAAAAAAAACAACAAACACAATATGATCCATCCTTCATGGTTGAGTGATAAAGATACAACAACACAATAAGTTCTTCCTAACTTAGAAAATGAAATTGAGTGTGAGGGTGAGCAAAAGAAAGTGAATATCTTTTTTCTGTGACCGTGTAGTTTATAGCTTTCCTTGTATTACATCTATTATTCCATTTGCATGTATCTTTTAGGAAGAGATATTGTTCATTAAAATGCCGAATGACTTGCAACAGTGGCTATCTTCCTTGTATGGAGATCTATTATACTAGATCAAATGAAGAAGGTAGATGCATTCCAAAGTTTGAATGCCCTGATTCTAGAACAAAGATTTAGTGATTTGTAAGAACTAAGGGACAAAACCACAAGAAAAAGATGTTCTAAGAATAGATGGACAATAATCCAAACCATTATACCTTTGTGTGGGGACAATCACATAATGTGTGATGTAAAGTCTCTAATGAATCACAGCCAAATGTATACTGAAATGAGGAATTAAGATGATGCTTCCATAAGACATCCCTTGTAGGTATCACCTCATGAATCAATTTCCAAATGAAGGGGGTTTTTATAAGGCAAATGAAGTTTTCAGAAAAAATTTCAAAAGTTTCTCTTTAAAAAGGGGATTATCCTGAAGGCTATAAGAGGATATGGAAAAGCCATATCTAACAAAGTAAGAATCAGAGTCTCAAATGAAATGATCAACCTCATTAGTAAAAGAAACAGGGATCTTTAGATTGAGTTACCCTCCTTCTTACCATAGAGATTGTTTATGAGCCATCCAGGGTGTTTGGATTAGTGATGAGCAAATGAAGAGAAGGGTTTTAAGAGTGGATCTTGTTTTGTGATTGCTTGATTCTTGTTTTTGTGGGTTCGTTCAGTTAATCGAATTTTTTTTTCCCGAGTGTTGAACTTTTCTTGAGCCATCCTGAATGTTAATTTTAGAGAAAATTAATCTTTTAGTTCTTCAACTTTTAACTCACTTGTAACTCAGTCCCTCAACTATAACTCGCTGCAATTTAGTCCCTCAACTTTTGATTTACTTATAACTCGGTCCTTATTTTTTAATTTTTTTAAATTTTTTTATAAGAGGAATAAAAAAATGCTCATATATTATTTTAAAATATCCTCTTCTTATTTATTAATATAAGATATAAGCTAACATGAAAAAAAATTAACAAAGGTTAAGGGACTAATTTATAAGTGATTCAAAAGTTGAGGGATTGAGTCATAGGCGAGTTATAGTTGAGGGACTGAGTCATAGGCAGGCGAGTTATAGTTGAGAGACTGAGTTATAGGCGAGTTATAGTTGAAGGACTGAGTCATAGCGAGTCATAGTTGAGGGACTGAGTTACAAGTGACTTAAAAATTGGAGGACTAAAAGATTAATTTTCTCTTAATTTTATAATAGATTAGCATAAGTTAATTTTTATTGAAATTATATATTTTATTAAAGTGATTACTTTGGTTTTTAAATATTAAGTTCAAAATAAAACAAATCCTCATTAATTGTTCCCATTTCATAATTGGTGGAATAATTACACAAATCCTTTGTTTATTCTCTATGATCTTTTTTTTTAATTTTAATATTTAACTTTCTCGTTTATTGTCAACTCTCTTTTATGACCCCGGGCTTCACATTATTGGGCGTTTCTCTGGGTATTCAGC